TCTATCTATCTATCTATCTATCTATCTATCTATCTATCTATCTATCTGTCTATCTGTCTGTCTGTCTGTCTGTCTGTCTGTCTGTCTGTCTGTCTATCTATATCTATATCTATATCTATCTCTTTCTATATATTTATATATCTCTATGTCTCTCTATATCTCTATCTCTCTATATATCTATATCTCTATCTCTCTATATATCTATATCTCTATCTCTCTATATATCTATGTATATATCTCTATCTCTCTATATATCTCTCTATAACTCTATATCTCTCTATATATGTCTATATCTCTCTAAAACTCTGTATCTCTCTATATATCTATCTATATCTCTCTTTAACTCTATATGTCTGTACATCTCTATCTCTCTATATCTTTCTATATCTCTATATCTCGCTATATCTCTATATCTCTTTCGATCTATATCTATCGATATCTCTCTATATCTCTATACATCTTTCTATATCTCTATTTATCTATATATCTATCTCTCTCTCTCTCTATATATATATATATATTTACACACACACACACACACACACACACACACACACACACACACACACACACACACACACACACACCACAGGTTTCACACACACACACACACACACACGCACGCACGCACACACACACACACACACACACACACACACACACACACACACACACACACACACACACACACACACACACACACACACACACTGTTTATGTTTATATACATGAGTGTGTTTTATTGTTGTGAAACTCCCAGTCTAGTCTGCTAAACAACATTTCAATAAGAACTATGTAAATGAAATACACAGTATCTGGTTTTAGAGACAGTTGTGTATTATGTTGTATAATTTACATAATTTCCCACATGCTCCTGTTCCTCTTGGACCACAGTATAAGTCTGGGCAACTGTACAAACAGTTGAGTTTGGTGTTAAACATTAAGTCAGTGTTTCTTACTGTGTTTGGGTCACAGAGTGTTAACATTTTACTTTCTTTTAGACAATCCAACATGCAGCAGAGGTTGTTTCTGTTCATTTTGATGGGTGAGTGACTCACTTACAGCGTTTGTGTTTAACTCTTTCTGTGCAAATCAATTTAAAATCTTTTTGAGGTAGTCTGGTCATGTTTAAGTAGTGTTTTGTGAAAACTAATCAATGGTTAATATCTTTCATGACTGTGATGAAATTTCATCAAGCATTTTTAAGATTAAAGTTTCAATGCCCAAAATAAAATATCTATTTATATGACAGAAAAAATAATAACTTTTTTTTTGTCTATACTATATCTAACAGGTATGAGTGCAGTTTTACTGGATTTTGTTATGAAATACCATGTAATATTTTACTTGAAGTAGGTCAAGGTGTTAAATACTGCCACTGCACCAGTGAGAGTCATTTTAATTTCAGTTTTTATTTCAATCCTTCACAATAAGAGTCTTAAACACATACACCAATACATTCAGAAACATTGTTATCTGGTCTGCTGTATTCATTTTACTTAAGAAACTCAGTGTAAGCTATTTTTATAAATGTCACCCAACTTTAAGGTACATTTCTACAAAATAGAAAGCGTGTGATGTCTGAAATGGACTTTGTATTTAAATATTGTTCTCGTAAATGATTTTGCATCTTATACACATAATCTCTGTATTTGGCGATTGCATGCTTGTTTTCCATGGCTTTACTACTCTAATATTTTCTCGGCTTTTAGGTCCATGTGTCATTCTCAGTCTTCAAAGCTATGAATACCACTTTATCAACGAAGAAAAGACCTGGGATGAGGCCCAGATGTACTGCCAAGAGTACTTTACAGACCTGGCTGCAGTGCATGACGAGGAAGATCAGAAAAGACTCACTGACTCCACAGACTTTCAAGGCAAAGCCTGGATTGGGCTGTACACTGAGGGAAGCAGGTAAAATGTTCTTGTAAACATTTTTATATTTTTACTAGATTATTTCATTTCTGCAGACATGGGAGCAGAACAGATGAAACTTTGTCTTTTGTCTAATAGCCAAAAGTTTAAGCTGAATCAGTGAAAGTGTGTGAACAGAGATACGAAAAGCTGCTATTTGTTGAACATCCAATGGCTGAGAATTCAGGTTACCATGGTGATGTGATGAGCAGTGCTTTAAGTCAGTGGCTCCCAACTCTGGTCCTTGAGGAACACCATCCTACATGTTTTAGTTGTTTTTCTGCTCCAACACTTGATTCAGTGATTTACTTACTTCTTTTAAGTTCAGCAGAAGCCTGTTAAATCACTCTTTCATTCAAAGCAGTTGTGTTGGAGCAGAGAAACAACTAAAACATGCAGGATGGTCTTCCTCAGGGACCAGGGTTGGGAGCCAAAAACTTTGTTCTGCGCCATTGCTATTTTCTGAAAAGCTCATGTATTATATGTCAGTGTGAGTTTTTTTTTTGTTTCTGAAGAAAAACCATAAAACAGATTTGAAAATATTTACCTTGGGATTTATGTGACAATCCAGGACTGTTATAATTTGACTCTTTATGGCACATGAGAGTTTTCTGTCATTTGGACCTTTTCGATCCAAAAGGATTGTCTTTTATTTTTATTTACCTCTGCTTCTGCTGCCCTCCCCTGGGGGAGGGGGGGGGGGGGTGGATGGGCCCCAGGGCTCTATTCTTGGTCCTCTCCTGTTTTCACTTTATCTTCTGCCACTGGGTTCTATTTTCAGAAAGCATGGTGTGCAATTTAATTTATATGCGGATGACTGTCAAGTCTATTTCCCTTTGAAACATAATGGCTCCACTCAGTCTCTCCTAGACAGTCTTGATGACATTAGAGGATGGATGGCACTTAATTTCCTCCATTTTAACAAGAATAAAACTGAGGTTATGGTCTTTAAATCCTGTGGTCCTAGCAGTTTCCCCACCTTTGATTTTTCCTCTTTGGCCCCATATGAAAAATCCATTGTGACAAATTTAGGAGTGAAAATGGACCTCTACCTGAAACTTGACTGCCATGTCAACAACGTGGTTAAGTCCTCTTTCTTTCAGCTGAGGCGCCTGTCAAAAATCAAGCCCCACCTTTCTAGGCACCACTTAGAGACAGTAATCCACGCTTTTATTACTTCACGCCTGGATTATTGTATTTCTCTGTTGATAGGAGTTAGCCAGGCCTCGCTCTCACGGTTACAGCTGGTACAAAATGCTGCTGCATGATTTTTGACTGTTACAGGCAGGCGTGAGCATATCACTCCGGTTCTGATGTCCCTTCACTGGCTTCCTGTTCAGTTTCAAATCCATTTTAAAGTTTTATTGTTTGTTTTTAAGTCTTTGAAGAGTCTTAGTCCCTCTTGTTTGTCTGAACTGCTTCACTTTTACATGTCATCTTAGATCCTCTGACCAGATGCTTTTAGCAGTCCCGAAACCTTTTATAAATCCAGAGGAGACAGAGCCTTTTCAGCTCTGGCTCCTAAATTGGGGAACGAGCTGCCACTGAAAGTCAGGCAGGCCCCATCAATCTCTGTTTTTAAAACTTACTTAAAAACACCTTTTTTTCATTGACTTTTAACCTAGAGTGAACATCTCTGTCCTAATGCTGTATTCTTTTACTTGTGATGCTCTGAT